TTCTTTAAATTCCATATATGTGAGATTAATAGTATTTTCTTTCTCAGTCTGACTTATTTTGCTTAGCATAATATTCTCTAGGTCTATCCATGTTGTTGCAAATGGTGACATTTCATTCTCGTTTACGGGCGAATAATACTCCAGTGTATAATTGTACTAGTTTCTTTATCCAGTCGTCTATGGATGAGCATTATAGTTGTTTCCATATTGTGGCTATTGTGAATAGTGCTGCAATAAACATAGGGGTCCATATTATTTTTCAAATTAGTGTTTGCCAATGATACATCAGATAAGGGGTTAATATCCAAAATTTATTATTATTATTATTAATTTATTTTTTTAAGCTGAGCCATCCTGCCACCTGTTGGCAGCTCAGCGGCCGCTCAGCTCGGGCCAGGAATTGAACCACTGTTGCTCAGAGCTCAAACTCTTGAGCGAGCTCTTAACCAACTGAGCCACTCAGCCGGCCTCAAAATTTATAAAAAACTCATTTAACTCAACACCAAAGAATCCAATTAAAAAAATGGGCAGAGGACATGAAGAGACATTTCTCTAAAGAGGACATACAGATGGCCAAGATATATGAAAAAATGCTCAACCTCAGTAATTCATTAGAGAAAAGGAAATAAAAATCACAATGAGATACCACCTCACTCCTGTCAGAATGGCTATCATCAATAAATCAGCAAGTGCTGGCAAAGATGTGGAGCAAAGGAACCCTTGTACACTGTTGGTGGGATTGCAGATTAGTGCAGCCACTATGGAAATCAGTGTGGAGGTATCGCAAAAAACTGGAAATGGAACTACCTTATGGTCCAGCAATTCCACTCTTGGGTATCTATCCAGAGAATTCCTAATGCTGACCCACTTTCTTTTGCAATTTCCTCTCTTGCTATTCTCATTGCATAAACCCCATCTCACTGCTCTGTTTCCTATCCTGTTTTTGGCTCCCCAGGGCATTCCCACTGCCTGGCCTGCTCCAGTTCCTCCCTCAGAGCAGAAAGCATCACCACTTGATGGAAACCCTAGACCAGTGGTTCTCAACCTGTGGGTCACAACCTCTTTGGGGGTCGAACAACCTTTTCACAGGGGTTACCTAAACAAAAAAGATATTTACATTACGATTCATAACAGTAGCAAAATTACAGAGTAGCAACAAAAATAATTTTATGGTTGGGGGTCATCACAACATGAGGAACTGTATTAAGGAACTGCATTAGGAAGGTTGAGAACCACTGCCCTAGACTGTCCGTAGAGGGCTTTGTCCCTCCCATTTGGCATTTTCCTGTTTCACCTTTTTGTTCCCCAGGAACGCTCAATAAATGGTTTTTTGTGTTTTTTAAAAAAATATTTTTATTGGGGAATTGGGGGATAGGAACAGCGCTGGGGATTCAGGGGAAGGGGAACAGACAAGTTGCTGTCGTTTTGTTCTTCAGTCTAGCCGTGGAGGACATTGCTTCACTGGCCCAAGTTGGCACCATCATTGCGCTCTTCCCGGGCGAGGCACATCAGTTGCCGGCTTCTGGACAGCCGCTCACGCTGTCTGCTGGCTACACACAGTAGCCCATGGCAACCCACTGCAGCAGGGGCTGCAGCCTACACCGTCGCCGATGACTCATAGCAGCCGGCTCCAGGTTGAGCTGTTGTTCAGCATCTTAGCTGTAGAGGGCAGTGTCACTGGCCCTCATGTGGGATCTGAACTGGGGCCCTCTGGCGTCCCAAGCCAGCTCTTAACCAGTGCGCCACTCGGCCGGCCCCAATAAATGTTTTAATTGAATGCCACAACTCAATGAACAGTGAATCTAGGGCTATTTTTATTAGAGACAAGCAGTGAGCTGTGGAATGTTTCAATTTTTCTGGAGGTGCAAAGCAGAATCTTTCCTAAGTATGCCCTTTGAGGGAGTAACATACATTCTTAATTTGTACGATTTGTTATTGAGAAAACCCTTGCATCGTGTGGTAGTCAACTCATTTATATACTTATTAAGCAACCCACCGCCCTGTCCCCACACTGCTCCTTCCAGTCTATCCCTACCCCAACAAGTACTCTAAAAATATAAGGGGCCAAGAGATGTATCATCCACTCTTCACCCTCCCTGCCAAAAGGCCACCTTGGGACAAATTTAGCTGATGGGTATGTGGAACATTATAGCTTTTTGCCCTGTACTTGCTATTTCTTAGCATTTACACAGCATCTTCACATTTCCAAAGCAATGTACCATTTATTAATCCTCACAACACCCCTGTGAGGTAGGTCAATATGTCATTTATAGCAGAGAAACAGGCAGAGAGAGGTCAAGTGAACCTGCCTGAGGCCAAGGGTACCGGGTGAAGGAAGGGCACCAAATCCATAAGCTAGGGCTCTCCGTCCCATGTTCACCCACTGGTGAGCATCACATGGGTAAATTTTTACCAGTGAAGGTGACATGAAGGATAAAACACAGATCTCTCAGCCAACAGAAAAATCAACAGTTCAAAGGGCATTGGGAAACGTTAGAGAGAGAAACATTAACCAGCACAGCAGTGAGACAAGAGAACAAGCTGTGGAGGAAGGCTGGAATCATGGGGACTGGCCTTGGGACCTAGTCCAGGCATTTTTCAGGACGGTTTGGGAAAACACAAACAAACGGAGAGCCCATCTGAGGGGTGACCAACCCAAATGCCTGTTTCCAAATGGAATAAAAATTAGAAAAAGACAGTGGAAAAATTCAGCTACTCAATCTAATTTTAAACTAGGTATGACATAATGTTCATTCACATTAGAAAGGCCAATATTTGTAATATAAGCACTGGTACTTAGTATCCTTTTTGTACCCTTTTATTCCAAATACTGCAGTATTTTCCCCGCATCAAGTGCTGGTCCCTGTAGCAGCCCTCTTTCTATGTACCAATCTATACACTAGCATGGCAACTACCAAGTAGCTCAATGTCATATGTCATATGGTTAATTGGCTGAGCTAGGGATGAACTCAGGACACCATAACAGACCATATTCTTAGCTCTTGCACTTTAGAAACAGCTGTCCCTAACCTGCCTCTGCCCAATTTCATTTTCTATGAAGTGCTAAAAGCAGAGAAGCAGTTCATTGTTTTGTAAAGGGGTTGGTGAACTTGGTTCACTATGCTGCTTTAAAGGAAATACGAAAAACTAAGACCTGCTCCGTCAAGCATTATATGAGTAGATTTATTATAGCTACTCCAGGTTTTAGAGTGATACAATGACCAGAGAATTAAAAACCATCACTGTTATCACTGTTTATTTGACAATAGTTGGTTTAGTCTACAAGTTTAAGGCAAACATACTAATGCATTTGCTTTTTTTCAGAAATCATACTTAGAAAGATTACATAAAGTCTGTCCCAAAACTTCTAAGAAATATTCATTAATTAAAAATAAGTCTGATTAAGATGCTTTACCAGGATACATGAATGAGCTAACGTGGTATACAATTTTTTAAAAACAAAATTCAAAAAAGGTAATGGCAATCTTTATCTTGTTTGAAGAATACATTTTTGAAAGGGTTAAACTTCAGAAATTACTTAAAGGTAAATAAGATTGGCAGCCATAAGGAATACTATTCATAAAATAAACAGTTATAGAGGCTACTTTAAAAAAGACTGAACTTTGGGCTTTTGAGGAGGAGCGCACGAGGAGTGACAGCTGCTCTGGGGAGCACGTAGGTGCAGGAGTGCGGCGTTCACCAGACTGGCACACTTGTGGACAGCACCGCTCCATTGTTTCTCAGAAGAAAGGAGAGTAGATGCACTTTGTCAGCTGTTTCTCTTGTTTCCAGTGAGCAGTAAATGCCTAACATCATTAAGAAAACAAAAATACAATCTGAAGGAAGGCAGCCCTTTTTAACTAGAAGGTGGAGTGCGGCTTATGTGTCTCCATTTAACACTGCCAGGCAGTTCTGCAGCAACTGTAGGTTACCCTAAAAAGAAAGGGAAAATAAATTATGACGTTCAAATAGCTTGGAAGAGTCTTACTGAAAATACACACTATTAGAAATCATATAACTTTAAATTTGTTAAAAAAGAAGTATTTTAGAAACAGCCATTTATTATATACAAATAAAGGTTAGAGGACAAAATTACATAATTTGTTTCATGTACAGTTACTTTGCACACACTAGATTCTTCAGTAAATTTCCATCTAGACCAATATTAATATTTTAAATTATCTGGCTGTTCTAATGAGGGATAAAATATGCACTCTGTGTCCCAGTTAAACTACTGAACATTTTCTGGCTGTAAGGTTATCACTTTCCTTTAGCCATTAAAATATACATCAGCATAGATTTATAGCAGTTTTTATAAAAATAGTAAGATTCTATACAAAAGTATTCTATAAAATTCATACCTAAGCACCCATTTGTAAAAGACATGAACTGGCATCTAAATTTAGAGACATGTATAAAGACAAATTTAAGGATATTTAGATTACATTAATATATAAATGGGGGTGAAGGAAATCCTCTTCTTTAGAATAGAAAGTCAACTATAATGAATAAAGAACGATGGAATTAGAAAATGACCATTTGGCAACCATAATAATAACTGATTCAGACAAAATCATGGAGAGGCTAAAAACAGTGTGAGGCTAAAATGCCAATACTGTAGCCATTAGCTACGTGCAGCTATACAAAATTTAAATTTCTGTTAATTGAAAGTAAACAAAAACTCAGTTCTTCAGTTGCACTACCCACATTTCAAATGTTTGATAGCCACATAAGGCTAGTGGTTACGATACTGGAGTGGTGATTATAGAATATTTCCATCATTGCACAAAGTTCTATTGGGCAGTGCTGGTTGAGTAATGGGATATTTACATAATCCCTGCAGAATACTTCTTAATTCCAAAGTGTAAAACTGTAACTCTGCCATTGAGAAACCTATAGATATCACTGTAACCAAATAATCAAAGTAAGCACGTGCCTGCTGATATGATGTGGTGAGAAAATCTGAGTATCAACTCTGTGGTACTTCTGCCAAAAGTACATAACCTAAACCCAATAATTAGACAAACTCAAATTGAGGGACATTCTGTAGGCCTGTGCTTTTAACAGCGTCCAATGTGATGTAATACAAAGTCTCAACAACTTTTCCAGATTAAAGAAGTTTAAAAAGATATGTGCACTGAATGTCACACATTATCTTGAATTTCCTTTTGACATTAAAGACATTATTGAGACAACTGGTGGAATCTGAATAAAAGCCTGTGATTAGATAAGCATCAGTATAAATCCCTGACCTTGATTATTACTATAATGAGGATTTAAGAGAGTTACTTGGTTTTTGGAAATTCACACTGAAGTGTTTAAGGGTGAAGAGGCAACTTACTCAAACGGTTTAAGACAAAAATAGGTGGGTACGGGGTAGCGTGGGTATGTGTATAAAGGTGGGAGGGAGGGAGGAAGGGACAAAGCAAATGTGGTAATATGCACATTTAGGGAATCTGGGTGAAGAGTATCCAGGAATTCTTTGTACTTTTCTTAATACTTTCTGAAAGTCTGAAATTAAGTGAAAATAAAATTTAAAAATTTTAGGGGTTCAGGTTAAGGTCAATTTTTTGCTAGTATGACAGAATAGGGACACATGACTTTGAGCCTGTCTATATTTGTAAAATTAGCTTCTTAAAGATATACTTCTCAAGTGGGACTGCTGAGTCAAAAAGATGCACACCCTGCACTCTGACATACCACCAAACCGCCCTCCCAAAGGGTGTGCACTAACCCACAATTTACCAACAGGGCATAAGAGGACTCATTTCACACCCTCGGCATCACTTTTTTTTTTAACTGTCCTTATCATACTTCATTAATAAAGAATATGAGACCATTTGCAAGGACACAAAAGTGACTGAACTACCTAGTTTTCTGTTATAACCAGATTTCAACTATGTGGCAACATGTATCCCAGTTATAATAAGTGAAATCCAAAGTACTTTCAAACCATCTTGTTGTAAATTTAATATCTAGTCTTCATGGAACAATTTATGTGGATTGTGGGACCAAATGGGACGCTGTTCAGATTTAAAAATCATTAAGAAATCTTAGACAACAGAGCAGGATTTCTCAGCCTTGGCAATCCTGACATTTTGAGCTGCATAGTCCCTACCTTGTGGGGGCTGTCCTGTGCATTGTAGGATATTTAGCATCCCTGGCCTCTACCCACTACATCAGTAACCCTTCCCCGCCACTGTGACAAACACAAATGTCTCCTGGGAAGCAAAACTGCCTCCAGTTAAGAGCCACTGGACTAGAAGAGCTATCAGAAATTTGAACACAGAGAACACATTTCAGAAAGGATTTGAAAAAGTATAAAATCTGGAAATCAGAGGCTGACATCAGTCTGTACTAGGGGTCAGCAAACTCTTTCAGTAAAGGGCTAAATAGTAAACATTTTAGATTTTGAGGGACATTTGGTCTCTGTTTCAGCTATTCAACTTGGCTGTAGTTCTGTGAAAGCAATCAGAGACAAAGCATTAATGAATGAGCTTGGCTATATTCCAACAGAATTTTATTTATAGATTAAATATGAATTTCATATAATTATCACATGCCATAAAATAGTATTCTTTTGCTGTTTTAAAATAACCACTTAAAAACATAAATGCCATTCCTGGCTCACAGGCTGGGGTCTGCCAATCCCTCCTTGATCTGTAACAAAATCCTACTTTGTATAACCTCTTTAAAAAGAACAAGAAAAATGAACAGTAGAAACCAACACAGGTTTAGTAAGTATAAACCATGCCAAGCTTATCAAAGCATTTTCTTTTGACAAGGTCATTAGACCAAGAAATCAGACATTTAACTTGATTTTAATGAGGAATTTGACACTTCTTATATCCTTAATAGATAAAATGGAGAAATAACGGTTGATGATAGTATAAACAGGTCAATTCGTAACTATCTAAATAACTAAACCAAAGAAAATTAATAAGTTAATACCAATTAGTATAGAAAGAAAGAGAGGGAACTGATCATTTACTTTTTTGGTGCCACGTACTTTTACAATTAGATTAACAAATGTTGATTCCTTGGGTCCTGATCAATCTTTTAAATGAAAAGTTAGAAAAAAAAATTTAGATGAAGACTTAAAAGGTTAAGTTTATACAAATTACAAATGTCCATCACTTGGGAGGATTAACTAGTATAATAGTTAAGTACTATATGATCAAATCCACGTTTCCAAAAGACTGGGATGCACTGGGATAAAACTAGCAAGCTAATATTTAATACATAAATGTGACCTTCAATTACATTTTAAATATTATATGCTCAATAAATGAAAAAAATTCTAGAGCTCTGTTGTACATTGTGAATGTACTTAACACTATTGAACTGTAACATTTAAAAATGGTTAAGATGGTAAATTTTATGTTTATCACAAAAAAAAAAAAATAAAAAGGGTGTGATTATAAGCCAAATAAAGCTAGTGCAATAGGACAGTTAAAAAAAAACACCCTTATATACATAAAACATGCTCTAAGAAGAAATGTGTACAATAATCAGTCCACATAGAGAAAAGTGTTTTCATTTCTGGGTGTAATATTTTAAAAAGCAATGACTGGAGCGTAATATTATAAAAGCCTTGTTGAGGTGTTATGGGATGAAAAATATTTAGCCCAAGGACGTCTACCCTGGAGGACAGAAGATATATAGATAATACAAACTATTCAAATATCTGAAGGGTAAACTGTAAAAGAGGAATTAAAACTTATCTTTCTTGTATTTTTACAGGATAAAACTTTCACCAATATGTCAGTTAATGAAGTAGATTTGTGTTTAGGCTTTAATAACTTCAGAAGTGTAAATGCTATAAATGTATCAAACAATAACATTTAAAAGTTTATTTAAATTTCTTTAATATTTATAGTTTTGGGAATTTTGAATACATTTTTAATTTTCAGTCAATCTGAAGACAGCAATGTTGAATACATTTTTAAGAATGTCTATATTAAGGAAGATGTGTTTTTTAACAACTAATCAAAAAATGATACTGAAAAAAAAAAAAAAGATACTGGTTTCCATATTAGTAACTACAGTCTTGCAGAGCTGATCATCAGAGACATTATAGATATTATTCTTGTTTGAATTAGATGATCTTCAAAATCACTCTCAATTCTAAAAATTCTTCATTTAAAAAATTACCATAAGGTTTGGGCCAAGCTTTATCTTTTTTTTTAAAAAATTTTATTGGGGATCAGCCGTGGTCATTGGTTACACATTGCTTTCATGCTACAATGGCATACTTGACGCTTTTTAAGGAGGGCGCAGCTCACAGTGGCCCATGTGGGGATTGAACCGGCAGCTTTGGTGTTATCAAAATGATGTTCTAACCAACTGAGCTAACTGGTCACCCCACAAGCTTTATCTTTATGTTAACTACAAGACAAGGCTTAATTCGAAGTAAGCAAATACCTTATAAAAACTCTATAAGGATATTTGTCTACTAAAACTAAAAAAAAATTTTTTTTTTAAAGATTTTTATTGGGGAGTTGGGGGATGTGAACAGTGCTGGGGAATTGGGGGAAGGGGAACAGACAAGTTGCTGTCGTTTTGTTCTTCAGTCTAGTTGTGGAGGACGTTGCTTCACTGGCCCAAGTTGNTGGCCGCTCATGCTGGCTGCTGGCTACACACAGTAGCCCATGGCAACCCACTGCCACAGGGGCTGCAGCCTACGCCGTCGCCGGCGACTCATGGCAACCCAGCTCCAGGTTGAGCAGTTGTTCAACATCTTAGCTGTAGAGGGCAGTGTCACTGGCCCTCATATGTGAGATCCGAACCGGGGTCCTCTGGCGTCCAAAGCCAGTTCTTAACCATCGTGCCACTTGGCCGGCCCCAAACTAAATATTTTTAAGGCGTGAAATAATCTTGGATAACATAATTCCAATTCAGGAATAGTTCTTACAGTATCCCTTAGAATCAATTTTGTAACTGACTCATTTCTAAGTTATAAGTTCCTTAAATTATTAAGTCTTTAATATGACACTACCTTTGCATGCTTCAGTTCTAACTCTGCCAGTTCCACTAAATTTTTTCTGAATGCAGCAACTCTTCTTGTCTTAAAATCTATGAGTTCTGTGAACAAAAGAAATTAGGATTAGCTTTAATTTACATACTAGTATAAAACATACCTTCTAATTAAAGGTTAATATAACAGTACCTTGTTTTGCAGATTCAGATATTTTTTCAAATTTCTGACAACATAATTGTTGGGACGTTTCAGCCTGTAGAACATCTTTATTTTTCGCTCTTGCTTTATCCAGTGCTTTATTAGCATTTTCATAATCCACTAATGACCTAGATCTTCGATAGAGGAGATCCTATAAAACAGGATGCTTCACAATAATATATGCTTCATGTTTCTGGTAGTTACACTCCATCACCACCCAATCACCATCATCAGAGCTAACACTTACATAATGAACGTCACATTCCAGTTACTCTTCTAAATTCTTTTTATAACAGCTTTATTGAGATATAATTCACATACCATATAGCTCACTCATTCAATGTATACAATTTAATGGTTTTTAGGATGCTCCTAGAGTTGTGTAACCATCACTACAATCAATTTTAGAACATTTTCGTCACTCAAAAAGAAACACCATGTCTATTAGCAGTCACTCTCCATCCATTCCTCCCCTTCTCCTCACTATTGATCAGCTTTCTGTCTCTATAGATTTGCCTACTCTGGACATTTCATTATATGGAATCATAATACGTGGCCTTTTGTGAATGGCTTTTTCCATTTAGCATAAAATTTCAAGTTCATCCATGTTACAGCATGAATCAGTACTTCTTTTTATTTCTAAATAATATTTCATTGTATACATATACCACATTGATTTATCCATTATCAGTTGATAGACATTTGGTTTTTCCACTGTTTGTCTATTATGAGTAATGTTATGAACATTTGAGTAAAGTTTTTGTGTGGACATGTTTTCATTTCTTTTTTATATCTCATTACTTGGGCGTAAAATTACTGGGTCACCTGATAACTCTACGTCGAACCTATTGAGAAACTACCAGACTGTTTTCCAAAGTGGCTGGCTGCATTGTACGAGTGTTCCAACTTCTCCACATCCTTGTCAACACTTGCAACATCTTTCTTTCTGATTAAAGTTACCTAGTGGGTATGAAGTGAAATCTCACTGTGGTTCTGATTTGCATTTCCCTGATGGCTAATGATGTTGCACATTTTTTTATGTATTCATTGGCCATTTGTATATATGTTTAAGTCCCTTACACATTTTTAAATTGGGTTATTTGTCTTTTAATTGAGTTATGAGTTCTTTATATAGTCTGGATGCCAGTCACTTACAGGGAATTACGTGATTTACAAATATTTTCTCTTAGTCTGCGGGGTTTTTTTCACTTTTCTTGATAATGTCCTTAGACACACACAAGTTTTTAATTTTAATAAAGTCTAACTTATTCTTTTCTTTGCTTGCTGTGTTTTTGGTGTCATATCTAAGAAACCAATGCCGAATCGAAGGTCACAAAGATTTATGTTTATGTTTTCTTCTAAAAATGTTATAGTTTTACGTCTTACATTTAGTATTTAATCCAGTTTGAGTACTTTTTTTTCTTTTTAAAGATTTTTTTTTTTAATTGGGGAATTGGGGGAGGGGAAGTGTTGGGGAATTGGGAAAGGAGAACAGCCAAATTGTTGTCCTTTAATCTTAGTTGTGGAGGGCGCAGGTAGCTCAGCTCCAAGTCCAGTTGCCATCTGGCCGCCCAATGGCAGCTTGCGGCCACTCACTCAAGGTGCCGTGTTCAATCTTAGTTGCGGGTAGGCGTAGTCCACCATCCCATGCGGGAGTCGAACTGTCTACCTTGTTGTTAGGAGCATGTGCCCTCACCAACTGAGCCATCCTGCCACCTGTTGGCAGCTCAGCGGCAGCTCAGCTCGGGCACAGCTCACTGGCCCATGTGGGAGTCGAACAAGCGACCCTGTTGCTCAGAGCTCGGGCTCTTAACCAACTGAGCCACTCAGCTGGCCCGAGTAAATTTTTATACATGGTGTAAGGAAGAGGGTCCAATTTATTCTTTCTCATGTAACTTTTCAGTTGTCCTAGGACCATTTGTTGAAAAGTCTATTCTGTTCCCCACTAAATTGTCTAAAGACCTTTGTCAACAATTACTTGACTGTATCAGCAAACCAGGAATAGAAGGAACTTCCTCAACTTGATAAAGAACATCTACAAAAAACCTACAGCTAACATCACAATTAATGATGAGAAACTAGAAGCTTTCCCACTAATATAAGGAACAACATAAGGATGTCTGATTTCACCACTCCTTCTCAACATAGTACTGGAAGTCCTAGACAATGCAATAAGAAAAGGAAATAGGAAGTATACAGATTTGGATGGAAAAAATAAAACTGTCTTTGTTCACAGATGACACGACTGTTCATGTAGAAATTTGAAAGACTCTACAAAAAAACCTCCTGGGACTAATAAATGAGTATAACAAGGTTGTAGGATACAACAGTAAAACACCAAAGTCAATGGCTTTCTTATATACCAGCAATGAACAAGTGAAACCTGAAATTAAAAACACAATACTATTTATATTAACACCCATAAAATGAAATACTTAGGTATTAATCTAACAAAAAATGTACAAAATCTGTATGAGGAAACCACAAAACTCTGAAAAAAAGATATTGAAGAACTGGGTCGGCCAAGTGGCTCAGTTGGTTAAGAGTGCAAGCTCTGAGCAACAGGGTCGCTGGTTCCCACATGGGCCAGTGAGCTGCGCCCAAGCTGAGCTGCCAACAGGTGGCAGAATGGCTCAGTTAGTAAGAGCATGTGCTCTTAACAAGGTTGCCGGTTCAACTCCCACATGGGATGGTGGATCTTAAAAAAAAAGATATTGAAGAACTAAATAAATGGAGAGATACTTCATGATCATGGATAGGGATACTCAATATTGTAAAAGTCAGTTCAACTTGATCTTTATTTTTACTTATTTATTTTTAAAAAGATTTTATTGGGGGAATTAGGGGAAGAGAACAGCGTTGGGGAACCAGGGAAGGGAAACAGACAAGTTGCTGTCCTTTGTTGTTCTTCAGTCTAGCTGTGGAGGACGTGACCCCACTGGCCCATGTTGGTATTATTACTGCGTTCTTCCCAGGTGAGGCAGTCGCTCGCCGGCCAATGGATGGCCAGTCACGGAAGCGCACGCCATCTGCTGACCAGCCCCACTGTGGCCTATGCCATCGCCGGCGACCCACTGCAGCCCAGCCCAGGTCGAACTATTGTTCACCATCTTAGCTGCAGAGGGTGCAGCGTCACTGGCTTGCATGTGGGATCCGAACCAGGGCCCTGCTGCCCAGAGCTGGCATCCCAAGCCGACTCTAAACCAGCGCGCCACTCGGCCGGCCCTCAACTTGATCTTTAGATTCAACATAATCTCAATCAAAATCCCAGCAAGTTATTTTGTAGATATTGACAACCTGATTCTAAAGTTTATGTGGACAGGCAAAAGACACACAATAACCAATACAATATTAAGAAGAATAACAGAGTCAGAGGACTATGTACTTTAAGCCTTACTACAGAGCTACAGCAATCCAGATGGTATGGTACTGGGTCAACAGAACAGAATAGAGCCTAGAACTAGTTTCACACAAATATAGTCAGTCAACTGATCTATGATAAGGAGCAATGGCAATACAATGGAAAAAAAAAAAAGTCTTTTCCACAAATGGTGCTGGGAAAATTTGGACATTCAGTTGCAAAGAAATGAATTTATACACAGACCTTACACCTTTTACAGAAATTATCATAAAATGGTTTATAGACCTAAACGTAAAAGCAAAAGTATAAAACACCTAGAATATAACATAAGAGAAAATCCAGATGACCTTGGGTTTGGTGATGACTTTTTAGATACAACACCAAAGGCATGATCTATGAAAGAAATAATTGATAAGATGGACTTCATTAAAATTAACATTTTCTGTTATACAAGACACTGTCCAGAGGATAATAAGACAAGCCACAGACCAAGAGAAAATATTTATAAAAAATATATCTGATAAAGGAATGCTACTCAAAATATACAAAGAACTCTCATGACTCAACAATAGGAAAATGAACTCAATTAAAAAATGGGCTAGGGCCGGCCGAGTGGCGCAATGGTTAAGAACTGGCTTGGGACGCCAGAGGGCCCCGGTTCGGATTCCACATATGAGGGCCAGTGACACTGCCCTCTTCAGCTAAGATGCTGAACAACAGCTTAACCTGGAGCTGGGCTGCTGTGAGTCGCCGGCGACGGCGTAGGCTGCAGCCCCAGTGGCAGTGGGTTGCCATGGGCTACCGTATGTAGCCAGCAGCCAGCGTGAGCGGCCAGCAGCCACAGTGAGCGGCCGTCCAGAAGCCGGTGACTGATGTGCCTCGCCCGGGAAGCGCACAATGATGGTGCCAAATTGGGCCAGTGAAGCAACGTCCTCCACAACTAGACTGAAGAACAAAACGACAGCAATTTGTCTGTTCCCCTTCCCCTAATTCCCCAGCACTGTTCCCTCCCCCCAATACCCCAATAAAAAAAAAAATCTTAAAAAAAAAAAATGGGCTAAAGACCAATTTTTTTAACAGACACCTCACGAAAGAAGATACACAGAGGGCAAATGAGCATGTGCAAATATGCTTCACATCATATGTCATCAGGGGAATGCAAATTAAAACAATGAGATACCACTACACATCTGTTAGAATGGCCAAAATCCACAACACTGACAACACCAAATGCTGGTGAGGATGTGAAGCAATAGGAACTCTCAATCATTGCTGCTGGGAATGCAAAACGGTACAGCCACTTTGGGAGACAGTTTGGCAGAACTGAACATACTCTTTCCATATGATCCAGCAATTGAGCTCCTTGGTATTTACTCAAAGGAGTTGAAAACTTATGTTCACCCAAAAACTTGCATGTGAATGTTTATAGCAGCTTTATTCATAATTGCCAAGACTTGGAAACCACCAAGATGTCCTTGAGTCGGTGAGTGGATAAATTTAGTACATCCAGACAATGGAATATTATTCTGTGCTAAAAAGAGTTATCAGGTCATGAAAAGATATAGAAGAAACTTACATGCATATTACTAAGTGAAAAAAGCCAATCTGAAAAAGCCCAACTATATGACATTCTGGAAAAGGCAAAACTATGGAGACAAAAAAAAAAAAATCAACGGGTTGGGGGGAAGGAGGATGAATAATTGGAGCATAGGATTTTTAGGGCAGTGAAACTACTCTGTATGATACTTATGATGGTGGATACATGTCATTACATATTTGTTGAAACTTACAGAATTATTTTGAGATTCATTCATCTTGTTGCGTGTATGAGTACTTAATTCCTTTTTATTGCTGAGTAGCAGTTCATTGTATGGCTGTACCACAATTTGTTTATCCACTCACTTTTTGGTGGGCATTTGCGTTGTTGCCAGTTTTTGGCTATTACAAATACAGCTGCTATGAACATCTGTGGGGATAGATGCTTTCAAATACCTGAAACTGGAATGACTAGAACATAGGGTAATCTATGTTTAATTTTTTAAAAAACTGCAACACTTTCCCAAAGTATTGTATCACAGTGCCAATACTGTGTAAGTTCCAGTTGTTGTAATTTTTTCATTTTAGTCATTCTAATTAAGTCGTGTAGTGATACATTATAGTTTTATTCTTATAATTAAATTTCAATTCTTTCTTGTGGTTACTAAAAAATTTAGATTTACTTTTAAGTTATGTTCTGTTCTAAAAAGTTATCTATTAACAACTACATGTTATAATAATGAATTTAAAGTCTTCAAAAGTGAACAATTCATTTTATCCTGCCCCATCCAATGGAAATAGTTTAAGATACCATTTGATTAAAATAATTTGAATCTAAGTCCTCAAAGTTAAAAGGGTTAGGTGTTCAAAGCACCACTGAACAAATGGGAATTTTCTGTATAATGTCTCAATTCATAAATTAACACTGATTTTGAAGTATCTGAGCCACCAAGTTTTCAGTGCTTTTAAGATGTTATTGTTAAACATTTTTAGTAAGAGTTTTAGTCTTGCATATAGACAGATTTCCAAAATGAAATTTGAGTTGTCTTAAAGTAAAAAATATCCTTGTGACAAGCTGTTGCCCCTTGAGCCCTTGGCCGCCTCTTGAGTCTTGCCTTTGCTTGGGGCCTGCTCCAAACTCTTTGGAGTGTACTTTTTCTCCTAATAATGCCACGTTGTGCCTGGAGCTGCTTTTCTTGATGCTCGGCCCACTCCTACCTTCTTTGGAGTGTACTATCTCTTCTAATAAACATTTTTTTACCACTTACAAAAAAACCCCCCAAAAAAACCCCTTGTTTTATGGTTCGCTCACCTTCAACAAAGGACTTTTATAGACTAAATTAGGAATCCTTTAGCTATAAAACTTATTTTGAGAGTTTTACTTTTTTTTTTGCAGGCACTTTTCCTGAATAAATATACCAAATTCATTAAAAAAAAAAATTCCATACTATATTGTATCAGTTTACTGAGAAAACTTTTATGTGGGGTTCCCTGATCTACAATTTCTAAAATGAGAAAAAAAATTTCACTTGAAAATATAATTTAAAATCAAGAGATAAGTCATCTTTAATAATTTTAATGAAGTTTAACAACCTGTAAAGAGATAGCTTTTTGTAAAATAGTCTATTTGAACAACAGTTACCTTAGCAGCTTGAGATTCTCTTAAGTAATATTTTAAAAGGTCGGAAAGTTTGAGGTCTTCATCAGCAGACACTCGTGCTTCTATTTTCTGAAAAAGAGAAAAAAATTGGGCATTTAATCAGCACTTATAGTCTATATTCAGTGTTTTCTTTCATTTATTTATTTTTTTAAAAGATTTTTATTGGGGAATTGGGGGGAAGGGGAACAGACAAGTTGCTGTCCTTTTGTTCTTCAGTCTAGTTGTGGAGGATGTTGCTTCACTGGCCCAAGTTGGCAC